TGCAAGATATGGCTACTACTTTTTTATTAACTGAGTTAAACAAAGCTTTTTAAGCCGTTTCAATAGCAACTAAATATCATAAATTGACAACTATTAGGTTGTTCAAATAATTTTGAGCCCTCTATCAAAGCAAATTTTCGGGACTAGGAGGCACATAATTATTTGAACAGCCTGATAGTAACACTAGAACAAATTTTCAACTGACCTCGGTTCAAGATACTCTTCGCTACTTTACCCTACCTTACTCTACTTTACCCTCCCCTACCCTGTCATTCCCCAGGGCTCCAATTTTTTTTTCAACCGTATTCTACCATACACTCCCCAACTCTCCTCCCCACTCCAAAATTTTTTTCGGCCCTGCCCTATCCGATCTCGTCCTAGCCTAGTCTACCAAACCATAGCCTATTTAGAGAAATAAACGGATAAGTAGTACTAGTATTTTACCGTCACAATTGTCATCATATTTTCTAACCCGCTTATCCATTCTAACCGCTTATCACCACGAAAAGGTTATGTATCTACCCTTAAACTAGGAGCAGTTATGCCAATATAATTGTCATAACTACTCCTACCCTTAAATTTCAAGTTTGTCGTAACCTTTCCAACCCTTCAAATATAGTTCTCATAACCTACCCGTTCCTCCTCATCTAATACGCGTGATCCCGTCAAAGCTATACATCTCATCTTGACATACTAACTATTTTTTTTCAGACAGACCACCCTAGTAGTTTTTTTCACGATTGAATTCAAGTAGATGATCAAGTTTGTTTCTTCCTTTTTAAAATGAGCTAATACGACGAAGTGTCTTTTTTACTGTCTGCTAATCCACCCTAGTAATTTTCGCGTTTTTTCGGCTAGCTATGTTGCTCTAGTCTACATCCTCCACTCGACTGTCTGGATCGGCGATAATTTTTTTAACTGACTAATCCTCCCTGGCGTTTTTTAAGCCTTTGATTTACTCTAGCCTTTTTCTGTTTTAGCTAGCTAGTTTTTATACTCTGTAATAGCTTCTTATTCTTCATGACTAAGCCAAGTCTTCCTTACTCGCTGACTCTTTACAATAGCTCACTTAACTGTCCCTTCATCGTCCTATCTTGCCTTCCACTATCCTCACAGTAGCTTCTTTTACTGTGCTTTCAACGCCCTAGTTCTTTTTGTTCTACCCTCCCCCATAGCCTCTCTTAACCCTCCTTCTTCACGCTAACTTTCCTTCCTTTACCATCCCCAATAGCTTCTTTTACCTTTTCTTCTCCCTTACTTTGTCTTCCTCTATCTTCCCCAGTAACTTCAGTATCTTTTTCTGCTCTTCCTTCTCCACCCTGTCTTTCCTCTATCTACCTTCCCCAATAGCTTGTTTTCTTCCTCTATCCTCCCCAACACCTTCTTCTCCTCTTCCTCCACACCCTCGTCTTCCTAACACACTGATCCACCCTCGCGCCAATCCCACCCCTCAGATAATTGCGTCTGCTAGTCGCTGTGATCCAGGCGTCGAGAACGACTTCCTGATAAGCCAGACTTGTTGCAATTCTGACGCAGCGAGTTTTTGTCATCGAGGGCGGGCGACTCCCCAAATATTTTTTTGCGTCGTCGTCGCTTCGGCTTAAACACAAAGTGAAAAACGGTGGGGGGAGAAAGTTGTTGGGTTTATTAATTGAAACTTTTGCGTCGTCTCGACCCGTACCGTTAACGTCGCCGACGTACGATTATCGTTATTTTATTTATTATCATTTCGACGTTGTTTTGACTATTTTCGAGAAGCTTTTTTGACCTTGCCTGTGATGTTTGGTCGGGCGGGATTTGGGGTAGATCATACGGTAAAGTGTGGTTTATAGTCGTATTTTAATTATACGTTAATATATTAATAACTATTGTTTACATTTTGCTTTATATTGAAAGTTTTGTGACTTGTATCGGGCTTTTCAGCCAATTCTATGTTCAAAAATGCCGGTTACCTGCTCTTCTTCTTCTAACTTTAAAGCCTATATTTTGCCATTTTTTAAACATTTTCTTAATACCACTTATAGATAACAATATAATTCTTACAAATCTCAATTCCATTCACTACTTTTACTTCCCGTATTTTACCCCCCAAAACCATCGAAAACCCCATTCTTTTGTGATTTGTGACTTTTCTCACCAAATTGCAGCAGTAGTTAAGAAACGGAGGATTGATTAGGGTATAAGCCAAACTGTGACAGCTACAGTATGCTTGCTCATTGTAAAAACAGACCATTCTCTGTGTTTGTAGTGTAATGATCTTGAGTATTTTTGGGTTTTCGGTTAGGTATCCGTCGAGTTTTTTGATTTTTTTTTGTATTACTGTATATTGCTGTAAAACACTGTCATTTAAACTTTTTTATGTTAATTTAATATATTACGTATTTTACATTAAATTTCAATCCGTTTTTGCTATTCATCTGTTGATTGTATTGAATTCTGCTTTCCCCATTAGCAAAATTTTGATATATAGCTCATTTTCAAGCGATAACTACCTTAGGGCTTAGCGTGTAAAAACCACATTTTAACAGTTTGAAGCCATTTCCAATACTTTCATTTTAACATCAAAATCACCAGTATACCTCTTATTACTCAAGCACTACCATTAAGTTAACTTATCCTACACCCCTCTTTGAAAATTTGAAAAGTATGACATTTTTCGCTACAACTCTCTTATGAGGCTTGATTTCAAAACCAAATTTGAATGCTTTAAACCTACCTCCATTACTGTCATTTTAAGCCCAAGAACGCCTGCATAGTTCTGATTACTCAACCCCTACTATCAAATGATTTTATTCTACCCTCCTCCTCCAAAAATTGAAAAGAGTGACATTTACGTTACAACTCTCGTACAACAGTTGCTTTTCAAACAAAATTTGACTGCATTTAACCCACTTCAATTACTGTCATTTTACAACCGAACACACCTGTCTAACTCTGATTACTCAACCCCTACCACCAAATCATCTTATCCAACCCACCTCCCACCCGAAACAGCCCGAATTTCGAATCGAAATCACACAAATACAATAACAAAACAATTTTACAATTTTTGTTCAGCAAATTTGACGCACTTGCGTAATCATTGAACAATTTTTGGAATTTTGACCGTTCCGTTCGTTCACCGTTCGGAATTCCAATCACGCTCCTCTGCGCACATCTCGAGAAGAGCGTTATTGATTGAATGAGTATTACTATAGATGTAAAAGTGTAATGTTTGGCTTGTTATTGTGTGATTGTTTATTGTGGTCTTGAATTGGGTTTTTTGCAGGTTTGGTCGAAAAAAAAGAATGGCACAAAAGTGTAAAATGTAAGAGCAAAATTTTTTTTTCAAATTTTTGTATGGGGACCAAAAAATGATTTTAAAATGGTACTTTTAGTACTTCAATTGAAGTTAAACTTTGTGTACAGTATGCTTATGCTATGGTTAGTAAATGTGCAAAATTTCGAATTTTAATTCGCATTTTTAAAAATTCAAGTTTAAAATTCGCGCCAAAACTTCAGTTCAAACTTTTACAATTTTTCAACAAAAGCAATTGCCAGTATTATTACTATGTACCATTGGTACTAGTATCTCTTCGTTAACAAAGTTTCAAAATAAATTTTTATTTTGTTATACCTAGGGCTACAATAACCTTTGCCTTATATAGTTGAGTTAACTATCAAGTTGTTCAAATAATTCTGTGCCTTCTAACACTAAATTTTCTTTTAGAAGAGGCACAGCACTATTTGAACATCTTAATAATGCATTTTAAAATAGAAGAGCACAGAATTATTTGAACAATATATGAACAGTACCCTTTGCCTCCATATGTAAAACCTGATCCCTACCATACCCCCTAGCTCTACCATATCCCCTGAACCCGACATCACTTCCCCACCCGTCTGTGTCTATTTTTATCCTATATATCACGTTCACATCGTAAAGTTTCGTTATACCGTACCGAATTGACGTACTCATCAAACATCATTACATCAAACCCACAAACTATTTTTACTGCCCAATAACAATGTAGGAATGTAAAAAGTTGCACTTGGTCGTACACCCGCCAATTACTGTCATGTACGCTGCGTTTACCCAAATATACATGGTATTTAGGGGCATGTACATTGCATTTAACATCATGTACATCGTATCACTTTGACGTATTTACATTGGGTTTGGTTTAATTGCCGGGTGGTAAGTGCATCAAGGCGGTTAGGCTATTTAAGAAGTGGCAATTTCGCGTCTCCATAGGGTTTGTCGTCTTTGGTGTCAGACTAGTGATTACAGAGTATTTGGCGGCTGAGTTACTTGAAACATACTAAGGTTAATTTAAGTAGAGGAACTAGTTAGTGGCTTTTGTAAACCTAGGTACTACTCTTTAAATATCTAGTTACTATCTTGTATAAACCTAGCTACTATCTTCTATGCACTTAGCTACTATAACATTCTACGCTTAATACTACAAGGCTATAGACTTAGTACTACTACAACGTAGACTCACTAATACTATAGTAAAGCTCTGTACTATAGAAACAAATTTTCAGTACTATTACAGTACTAACTCAACAAAACTACAATACTCGCTATTGTATCATCGTTTCTTGCTCAGTACCACTACAACATAGGTTTAGTCGTACTACAGTAGGTTCAGTACTATCATATTAGATAACCTAGCCGAACTTTATCATTTATATGCTACACGAAGCTTAATTTTCCATTCTTCCTATATTACGCTAGGCCCAAAAGTTCATTCTTTTACCTACTACAATATTTCACCTCCTCATCTCAACTCCCACGAACAAAATTACAGCCTAAACATACATTCCTTGGCTAAAACACCACTTCTTTAACCTATTTTTAACTGTACTACCATTATCTTCATAGTTCAGACTTTTATATCTCGTATTGTAAACCATATTTACGCTATTGTAACTACAGTAAAGCCTTTCGTTTTCTCTAAGCATTACTATAAATTAAGCCTTACTGTAACTTAAGTCTTACTGTAACTTAACTAACAATGAATCTAGAACAATGTGCTTTGTCTTTGCTTGAAGAAAACTTTAAACGTGCTATGGAGAAAGCTGTAAGTTGTTATAGCCAGTACTGAGAATGTTGTGCAAATTGTCACTACTGATTTTCATACAATTTAATTTTTGCACGTAGCACCTACATTTTGATTACATAGTATTTGTGTTTGGTACGTCATTATGACGCAGTACGTCGAAGTTTCCTACTTTTAAACCTTTACCGCACTGTAAATCTTTATATTGTTCTTTACTGTGATGTAATTCTATATATTTTTCTTTACCGTACTGTAAATTTCTATATTGTTCTTTACCGTACTGTAACTTTCTCTATTGTTCGTGTTTGTCCATTACCTACCTATTTCCAACCTAATTGTAATACAATATATTACAAATAAACCTAAGTTTTAAACCTCCATTTCCAGATGGCAGAAAACGACACCACTTTTCTACCTTCAAGCTCCAGCTCCCCACTCCCACCATTACTAGAGCCCGAGCTAGGCCAGCGCGCTTCGAAATCACCAGAAAAATCAAAATCACCTAGTGTTAGAAGGCGTGGGAAAGCCCGCATCTACAATGAAGTCTCACGATGTTATTCAGAGGAAGAGGTCGAGATGCACAGTCGGGGATGGCGAAAGTAAGTGCAGTACTATTTTTTAAAATACAGTAGTATTTTTTATTTAAAGTATTGTTTTTAAGCACCAATAGTGCTACTTTTTAAGGAAACGTATTGACTACCCATATTAGGCTAGCAGAGGACTCGCCTAATATGGACTAAAAGCTAAGAGAAAGATAGCTAGAGCTAGCGCTAAGACTAAAGCTAAGACTATAGTCTATGGCTAGAGCTGGAGCCAAGGCTAGGGCTAAAGCTAGGACCAAGACTAAAGCTGAGGCTACTGTCTAGGACTAAAGATAAGGCTAAGGCTAACTTATAATTGCTAAAAATTTAAATCCCCTAAAGGTCAAAAACCAAAAAATCAAGTTTTGTCTGATCCCCTGAACTCTGAAACAATTTATCCCGTCAAAGTTTCCTTGTTAACCGAACGTAAATCATGCTTCTTCAAAATCCGTCTGCTCACTTATCTCATAGTCGTTGTAGACAAAAAAGAGGAATCGCCGTTTGAAACAAGCTACGCGAAAAAACTGCGACAGTAGAAAGTTTTTTTTTTAAGTTTAACAGCAAAAAACTCAAGTTTTTTGAGAAATCTCGCATTTGAACTTTTGGATTTTTAAAAGGCAAGGATAAGACATATAACACATTTTATAATGTTTAAAGATAGCGCCGTTCTTTTTGCATCAAAAGTTATAAATGAAGCTGCCTTGGCAGTGATCTTACGGGCAATATGTGGCTTTAAAATGATCTTACGGACGATATTAAGATTTAAAGCGATCTTATGGACTATATAAGATTTTAGAGCAATCCTAGAAGCACTAAAACCAATTTTTTTGAAATTTTAAAGCCATAATCCCATTTTAAACGCTTTTATCCGCACAACACCATTTTACTTGGCAGTGAGCTTATGAACAATATAAGGCTTTAGAGCAAGCCTAGAAGTACTACAACCAATTTGCTTGAAATTTCAAAGCTAAAATGCCGTTTCTAATGTTTTTCGCTATATAATGCCATTTTGATACAATGAGTGTCTTCAGTACTATAAAGTACCAGAGAAACTCAAAAATTAAAAAATTTTTTTTTAAATTTTTTAAAATTTTTTTCAAAATTTTTCATTTTAGATTTCATTTTTTTTTTTCATTTTAAAGCAAAATCCGCCTCAAAACTGCCACAAAACACATTGAGATCAGATATATTACTCTTTGAATTAATCACGTCATTAAAACAAAATTTCGCGCGACTGTCTGGAGATACGTTTCACTGATAATCTCGAACAAAAGTGCACATATTTGCGACAAGTTTCTTTTCAACCTAATTGCAGCAAATCTTACTGGAGTGACGAATCCAGATACGTGGTAAATTGAAAAAAAATTTCTTGACCTAATTTAAAATTTCAAAAATTATTATTGGTCAAAAAGTTCATAGAAATGCCATTTTCATTCATTCTTTAGCCATTTCCTACCCTTCTCTAGCACTAGCTTTAACCTAGCCTTAACCCTAGTTTTAGCCCTAGACATAGCCCCAGCCTAGCCCTTCCGTGCCCTGCCCTAGCAGTACCTATAGCCATAACCCAAGCCCAACACCATGCCCAATCCCAAGCTTAGCCCTACGTCAATTAAGCCTAAACCATAGCAAAGTAAAATCATCTCATAGTACCCATGACATGATTCGAGCTTGTCTTACTGTCATTTACACTGTTTTCCTTAACTGTTCGGGTTAAAGATAGTAACGATACATGTGATATAATGCGTTTACTCAACTCTCTTTTGATTTAAGTTTTATATGTTCGTTAAACTCTCTCTTTAAGGTACGGTAATTGAAAAAGGTTCACCAGATAACACAACATTGTTTTAGAATAGCAACCTTTCATAATATTATAGTTTGACCAACTTTCATGTTATTATACCAGAGTTTCACTGTAACTTTTCTATATATCTTAGCCAATAGTTACCAGAATATTATAAGTTTTTGCACAGTAACTCACAGTGAACCTAAGAATCTTATCACAAGCACGATAGTTCTTATTTTTCACAAAAATTTTCACAAATCAATGTTATAGTAGACCATTCACCTACCTACCACAACATCCAAATTTTTTCAAAGCCAACTTTTTTACAAATCTCAAGCTTTCATATTAATCTTATTACTCTCCTGACGTCACTCTTCCCTCGGAATCATCACAAACCACAGTCACGTTAAGACACAGTTATTATAAGACGAAAAAGTCTTGTGAAACCGCTGACTCATGAAACATGTTTTACGCTGTTGCGGAACATGACGTCGCAAAAATTTTTTTTAATTTGCAATTAGGTAACTTAATATCAGGTGATTCGGTATGATGAGTTTTGGTTTTGATTTTCACTTTTATTAACCTGTAATTTAAAAAAAAATTATTTGAGAACCAAAAATTAAGACTTTTGAGACCACAGGGGGGGGAGTATGTTCAAATTTTTCAAAATTTTTTTTTTTAAATTTGAAATTTTTTTATGTTCAATTCACTAAATAGCTACTGACAAACCATATTAAACCATAGAATTTCAAAAAACTTCTCAAAACAACCTAAAACCACTAAAAATTTCAAAAATTTCAGGCTCAGAACCCGAAATCTCTCCAGGAAAGGTCAAGTTCGTGAATTTGAATGCCCTTTATCTCGTCGCCATACCAAATGCCGTATGGGTATGAGGATAGAGACGCATCTGAATGAAGCTGACGGCAAGTTGATACACATTGTGTATCATACCAGCGACACTGCGCATAATCACATGGAAGACATTCCACCAGGTAAATTGGTAGAAATTTAGAAAACTTGGCCTTTCTTTAACAGTTTAAAAAACGTCATTTCTAAAGACTTTTTGACCTACTAGGAAACCAATATTACCTTGAGCATTAACAATAAGCTATGACGCATCAAGAAAACTAAAAAATACAAGTTCTACAGACCTTTTGACCCAAAAAATCAATTCCTATTATCCTGACTATATGACAATAAACTTTTTGACCGTTTTCTCACTCTCACCCTCAGCCCTTACCCTTTACAGTTTCAGCAATCGACTCTATCAAGCCCGACTTCTCAGTTGGACCTCCCAACCTCACCCCCAACTTTTCGAATCTAGCCGCCATACAAGAGCGTGCACGGTCGGCCGAACAACACCGTCCTACGCCGTGCCTAAGCGAAGATTCGATGATGTCCGTGGACAATCCCGTTATCAGTCAAATAGGTTCTTTTGGGTTAAACGCGGCTTTATTCGCAATGGATGAGCAGAAGAACTGGATCACAGACTATATTAAGAGACGGTGGCATGATATGAGCCAGGAGAATCGCACTACTATTTTGGTAAGATTAGTGTAACAACAAAAATACTGTAGCTACTCAGTAGAAAGACTAGAGCTATTGAAGACAGAAAATAAAACGCTATTGGCCAAAAAAATCGAAATTTTTGTTCAAAAAATCCACAGGGGGACCAAGTTCAACATTTTTAAGAAAAAAATTTTTTTTTGAAAAGGAGAAGATAAGTAACCAAAAAATTTTTTATTTGATGGACTTTGCCATGCCCGTAGCCCTCAGTCAATAAAATTTCAAGCATCTAGTCATCATTCCAAAAAAGTTATAAACAAAAATCGAAAAAAATTTTAATTTTCAAGTTTTTTATATTTTTGAAATTTTTTAAAATTTTTTGCCATAGCCACGATTTCAACCAAGCCCAAAAAAACACACACTAAAAGACCTCATTCTACAACAATCCTTATCAATAATCCACAATATCCCATTAAAATCCTCTATTTTAGAACACTATCCTCTGTGACGTTACCCAGTCCAACCTCCTCAACACCCAGCCAACTCCAGTCACTCTCGCACAACCCACGCCCCAACTGAATCTAAGTTTGTTGAGTCAATTGAACGCTCAAGTGCTTATGGCCAACAAAAACATTTTCTTCAATCTCAACCAGTAGCCATATCGACTAACGAAGACACACCGATGACCAACCCAATCTCACTCGCCTTTCTGTAAAAACCGACCGTTTTTGATATCATATTGACATTTTTACCCGTATTTTATAATTTTGTTGATAACTAAAGAAGATTCTAACCAAATTTGTGTAAATTAAAGAATATTTTAAATAAAACTTGGCATTATTGTACAGCAAACCGCCAACCCAAACTTTCCATACTGTAACAAAAACTTTAAAAATTCATATTGAACATTTTAAAATACTAATAAAAACTCTCTCTACTACTTGTTATTACTAGTTTGAAGCCGTACAAAGCCATTCGAAGCCCTTTCAGCTAAAAAACCCAAATTTCAAGTTTTCGTTGTGAGACCCACTTTCAGGACAATTTTAAAATTAGAACTATATTTTTATAAAAAAGCTTCCATATTTTACTTTCCTTTGTCATTTTACAACCATAAAAAGTCATTTTGAGTAATTTTAGCTCAAAAAACCCAAATTTCAAGTTTTCGTGGTAATACACATTTTTTACATATTTTATAAATTATAAACCAATTTATAATAATCACAGTTCTTATTTAGTTAAAACCGCATAATATTGAGCTATTTTATGCTTATAGTATTATTTTCCATGTTTTCGTGGTGGGACCCAATACTTTCCAAAAAAATCGTTTGAAAACCAAAAAAACATCAAAAGCAGTTCAAGTTCAAAAAAAAACATAAAAAACCGTTAAAATTACAAAAAAAAAATAAAACCTACTGTCAACAATCTCCAAAACATAACGTCCAACGTTCAATCCATCTTTGTTCTCATTCGCTGGCAATACTCTCAATTTTCTGTAGACCTTTCTAAAGTTGGGCAAGGCTGACGTCTCCATCCAAATAATGAAATCTGCATTCTCCAAGGCTCGGCCAGTCTCTACATCGCCAATTTCAGCAATATGGCGAGTCCAGTCTTCCGGTTTGGCCGTGTTTTCAAAGCCCGGACAGGTAGTGATATTGCCACGACACGTCTTTGGATTCTTGTATTTCTTCTCGCGGAAGCGTGGATCTACAATATCTAGTGCCGTCCAATCAACTTTGACATGGTTGCCGTCGATTACTCTGTACAAGGTGAAAGTGTCTGAAACAAATAAGCCATAAAGGTTCTTAAGCTACTCCAGCCTACCCTAATGTATTCTACTCTTCCTTACCCACCTGTTTTAAACTTGACAATCCCACAACTTACCATTGAACATAGAATTAGCAACAGCTCCACATGGTACGATTGGCAATTCTCTGCCATTCACTTTCGAATGTTCATAAGGATAACAGTCTTCTGTAGCTCTCAAATCATGGCTTCTTAACTGGTGATCATTCCTAGATTGATGGTACTTTCGAATGTTCTGATAAAAGCCGTCCAAACCGTAGTAAAACGTTACATCACCCTGAAAATAGTATTTACATATTTTTAAAAAATTTTTTTAAAATTTTTTTAAAATTTAAGTAAAAGTTGATAAAAGCCCTAGCAATTCTAAAAACTTACCTTATATTCCTGTTCGAGGTGAAATTCATGAGTACATATTTTTTTACTGTCTTCTACTTTTGTTTGCCATAAATCACCGCCATTGGAACAATCTGTGTAGTCAATCTCGTGTTCAATTGCTAAAAAAATGATTTTGGAATACATATATTACAGCGGCGTATTTTACACAAGTTTTACAATTAGAAGTAAAAACAAAGACAACAGAAGGACCTTTTCACAAAAAACGTGTTTATCGTCACAACTCTCGCTATGAACTCCTGCTAGACTAGAAAAAGAGTTTGTTGGGCCCGGTCCAGCCCTGGCCCAAACTGAAAAAAAAAATTTTGAAAGGGACCGAGCCGGGCTCGGATCGCGCGGGCCAGAGATACAGGCCGCCTCACAAAACCAGTTTAGGTTCCGCAACAAAAAATTTTACTTGAAAAAAGTGTAAAGCCAATCTGATTTTAAAGCTTCATACGTATAAGAAACCGGGCCAAGCTGAAATAAATTGGAATAAGTCAGGCACGAGCCAGAAAACGTGAGTCCAAAAGCCTGAACCCAAAAGACCGAGCTTGGTCCCTTTACAGATCTAGTCACAACGCTCACAACCCTCGCTATAGACCCCTACCCAAAATGACCTACCCGCCCGTATATTAAAGTTACCTTTAGAATTGTTGTAGATCAAAGTTATCCCCATTCCCCAACAAACTGCTGCCGTCGACGCTATCACAGGTAACGCGCATCTGAAGGTGAAACTCGGCCGATATGCATTCAAGTTCTGCTGGAGCCAGGCGTCAGCTGTAATATAACAAATCGTATACCTTATTATGTCTTATTTTAATTTGAAATTTAAAAAAGTTTTAAAAAAATTTTCAAAAATGTGAGCTAAAATCGACTTTTTTTTACATAATTAGAAGTTTTAATTGAACAAAATTTTGTAAAATACATCTTGAACAGTCAAAAACAATAAAAAAGTTATATTAACTTACATCTAGGCTTGTTCCTTGGCCTTCGTTTCTTCGGAATTCGTGGTAATTCATCCGGCATTTGAATAAAACTTTAAAAATAAACATTAAGAAATGTCAAATTCGAATAAAAAATCAATTTTCATTTTAAAAAACGGCCGAAAAAGAAGAGACGAAAAAAGTAAAATTTTGGGTAAATTTTGATAAAAAGCGAGCAAAATGACAATGAAAAAATGGGCGCTAGGACAAATGCGGTTTTTAGACACTTGCGGATCTTCGGTTTTTGGACACTTGCGGATTTTGGACATTTGCGGATTTTTTAAAGGGGTTTTTTTTATTTTTTAGTTAATTTAGTCGTATTATGGTACTAAATTGTACTAAAGTTTGAATTAGTACGGTTTTAACATAACAGTACCTTTTTGGGCTTTTAGTACTATTTAGTACCAAAAATATAAAAACAATACCGATTAAAAATTTAGTACTATTTAACGTTAAGAAATATTAAGACAGTGCCAATTTAAACTTTAGTACCATTTAGTACCATACTACAACTAAATTAAACAAAAATATAAAAAAAACCCCTTTAAAAAATCCGCAAATGTCCAAAAACCGCATTTGTCCTAGCGCCCTTTTAGAATCAATTTTTAACTTTTTGTTACCTAAAAAATAGTTACCTAAAATATCAAAAACATCGAAAAAAAGTAATATGCCGTCGGAAATTTATATTTTAAACATTTCAGATCTATGCTCATGTCGAAATGACACTAAAAGCTAAAATTTTTACTTTTTTTATCTAAAATACCAAAAAAACCGAAAAACCAAAAAAGAAAATGCCTTTAGCCAAAAAGTTTTGGAACTTCATAATTTAAAGCTTTTAAGGCCCAAAACAAATAAAAATTACACTAAGAGTTGAAAATTAACTTTTTGTTACCTAAACTATCAAAAAAAACATCGAAAAATCAAGAAAAGTGCCTTTGGAAATCCATATTTTTGCCAATTTTAGATGTAAAACAACTTAAAAATAATATAAAACGGTTAACTCTTTTTATTATCTGTTGTTACCTAAAATATTGAAAAAATTAAAACAAAATTAAATTTAATATACTCAATTACCTCATTTTACTGAAATTCCCTCCAAAAAGTATTAAAAACAGTGTGAAAAGCCATAGCAACGCTCTTTTTTTTTAACTTTCCTTCCAAATTCGGCTTGTTTCCACTGATTTCGAATCGAAAAAGCAATTTCTTACAAAAAAAGCCCTACAGAAAAGAGTTTAGCTCTTCACGAACTCTTTCACTGGTTTCTATCAGCTCGCTAAGTGATTGCTCATTCAATATTTTTTGTTTGTTTTTCAAAGCTTTTTTTTAAATTTAAATTCTATTATATATATATTTACTTCTACAGGGTGCGCCAAAAGTGCTGTTACACGATTACTTTCAATATTATAAATTTTTGATAAATAATTGTTTTTGCTTGGGGCAGTGCAGGGAGGGTATTATTAGTCTAGGGGATATGTATCATCCTAGGGTATTAGGTCTTCTTAAACTGGGTATGTTATGGTGGAGTAGGCCACGCTGAGGCTCGGATATGGTCGCAAAAAAAGTTTGGAGCCGAAGGGGAAGGGTAGGGTAGAGTAGGGTAGGGTAGGGTAGGGTAGGGTAGGGTAGGGTAGGGTAGGGTAGGGTAGGGTAGGGTACAAAATTTGAGATTTTTAAAATTTATTTTGCAGCTTTTTGTGTGGTCTTTTTTGTATGCTAGTTGTCCTTCCGTCTATGCATATTGTTATATTTTAATAATTTATAACTTATTTTTCAAAAAAACGTTAAAAATTCAAAAATTTTTTGAATGTTTGCACTCAGCGTAAGCTTTATATTATTCATTATATTTATATTTTTTAATTTTGTATTTATTTAATGTGCCTTTATATAACTTGTATGATGAATTGCTCGAAAATCCTGCGTATGACGTTTTACATAGTCATTGTATTTATATAGTAGTACGTAAAAGTCTTAAAAAATTGAAAAATGAGTATTTTTACGTAGTGTATAGAGTTATGACACGGTGCATACCGTGGGAGGTGATCGTTTTATCGGGTCGCTCGCACAATGCAACCAGCCATAGGTAGTTCCGGATATATCAAACAGCTCTGAAACGTAATATCGCACTATTCAAAGTTCTACATGCTTATAAATCAATCATATAGATTACTACTTCAAGTTCCACATATTTATAGACATCGATTATACAGTTAGCTGTTTTCCAATTATACAGGGAACCAACCTACGACACATACAGTAAAAAAACCCACCAAACTTATTGTTTACAACAACAACCTTATAGCCCTTAAGGTATCCACTAGCCCATCTAAGCGTGGTTGTGTTCGGTACAGCTGTGCCATCAGCGTACATGTATGTTTCATTGCTTTTCAATATTACGTTGCCGAAGGGTCTCCCTTGTACGTTGGGGGTTCCTGTAAATCGCGGTAACTTTACCTTTACCATATGTAAATGAATGTTATAGTAAAGAAAGTCTTTTACAAAACCTATTAGGTTGACCCAAAAGGAGCAGGACACTTTTCATATATTTTTCTACTGAAATATGTCCCGCTACTTTTGGTTTAACCTAGTATTATATAAGTATTTTAAATGTCCAGTTCCAGAATTATTTATAACTTATGATACTTTTTAAATGCTTAGTAACATACCATACAGTTTAGAATATACCAAATCGCTGACAAATTTTATAGGATAACCACTAGTCAACCGCTCTGTGCATTGCGTTGTAATATTACCTGTGGCTAAAAAATGCAAAATTACAGCAAAGCAATAGATTCGACCACTGTAGTATAAACGAGTTGTCACCGTAGGCTCACAAGTATATTGTGTCATCATCATTACCTCTAAAAAGTTCTTGATCTTTATGTTGTGGTCAAAATATAGTGTTGAGTAAGGATTAGTTAGAAGTGTAAAAAATAAATTTATATGTTTTTTAAAACATACGAGCCCTGTTCATGATAAAATTGTAATATTCGGTTGAAGTACTGTTATCCAATCCAACTTGCCAATTATAATAAAATTGATGTACATTTGAGGCGTTTGTTTTTAGCTGCGGACACTGAAAAGTATAGAATGAACAGACTAGCCCAGCCCAAAGCCTTAGTTCAGAGTCTTAGCTCAACGCTCTAACCCAAAAACCTAGAGCCTAGAGCCTAGAGCCTAGAGCTTAGAGCCTAGTGCCTAGAGCCTAGAGCCTAGAGCCTAGAGCCCAAAGCCCAGAGCCTAAAGCCTAGAGCCTATACTAAAATTTTAGCCCAAAGCCTTAGCCTAGAGCCTTCGCCCAAAGCCCTAGACCAGAATCTTAGTTCAAAGCTCTAGCCTAGAGCCTTAATTGATTTTGTAACAACGGCACTGAAAAGTAAGAGCCCCGGAGTATATAAAAATTAACTTTACCTTTGTATAACAGTAGTTGTTTGAGTACATCGAGTACGATAAGGTACTGTTGAGAGTGCTTGAAACTTTTGGACTCGTTAGGTCTTTATATACTGTAATTTACGTAATTACTACACAATTTGAAAACTAAGAAGCCTAAAAATTTTAAAAACCTGTCTTACAACCTTCAATCATCAGTCCTTCAATCATCAGTCTTTCAGCTTCAGCTATTGTAACCGATTTCAAACATCTGTGAGATACGATATAGTAAACTACCGTATCTGAACTGGTTTCATTATAATTATAATCAGCGTAAAACGTTGCTCCAACACATAAACTAGTGTTGAGGTTGTATTGCAACAGTATCACTGTAGAGTCTGTGGCAGCATAATCTACACAATCTTGTAGACTGTCTACTGTAGTTGAAAAAGCGTTTTCTATGATTTGCATTTCGTAAGGCAGACGGACGTACCATAGTTGATAGGTTTGAGATATCTGAAGGTTAGTTAAGGTAGATATAGTTAAAAGAAACACATGTTTGTTACATATGACACTGTACTTACCAATACAAAAACTGTAATTATTAAAAAATAAACCATGTTTATTTAGAAAAGACAAAACGCTGTTTGTATTTGATGTTAAAGAGGCATAAATCCATGTCATAACTATTAATTCTTTTTGAGTTGACATTTTCGCTGTATAACAACTAAAAAAAGGCATATTAGACATTTTGGTTTAGGGTTCCTAACGTTTATAAACTGTCGGAGCTTATTCACTTTGTACATTACACAAATTCAATCAATTTAAAAGCCCACATATTACAAGTACTCCAGCTTGTCATTGAGTTGAAACGGAATGACCACCCTTGAGGAAAGGATCGTCTCGGACTTATTTTTCAGGCCCAGACGTATCTAAATTTTGCTAAAGCCCGGGATGAATATTTTTACCTGCAAACGGGCCGGGCTTTTTGGGCCGGCTTTGATTCTCAGGCCTGGCTTGACCTAAACACGGTTGCCGGCCCGTTCCTCATGTCTAGTCATTCCGTTTATTGGTTTATTTTACTATAATGATTTCTAACAACAAGCATATTTTTGTAATATAGATATGACCGTAGTATAAAAGACTATGTCATAGTGCATACTGTAGAACCCGTTCGTTTGGTAGGCTCACTCATACAATGCATTACACTCGTAGTTGAGCCAGCAATGTCGTACAACCCTAAATGTACAAAATATTATAGAAATTTAAGGTTAAAAGGAAAAAATCATCAACTTGTTTAAGTGAAGTATAACTCTGGTATAACCAACTGCTCGATAACGAAACTTCTTTATAACGACCAAATTTTAAGCATCCGAGCAATTTGTTGGACAAGAGTTTCACTGTAGTTTATAAAAGCATATTATTACATTTTATACACCTTTTTGCTGCTCTATTCCTAGAAAAAATTTTGTTTAACTCACCCAAATCCTGGCTTAAAACGACAACTTTATTGCCTTTAGGGTACCCGTTTAGCCAATTTAGCTTTGTGGTGTTAGGTATCGCTGAGCCGTCCGCAAACATGTATGTTTTGCCACTCTTTAATATCAAGTTGGAAAATGGTCGGTATTGCTGGTTTGGCATACCTACAAGATCAACAAGATATTATTGTTGTTAAAGTTTTAAAACTCTTTCTAGCCATTGATTCATATAAAGATCTAGGACAATATGTACTTCAAATACTATAAACTGTTAACTGCCTTTTAAAGCAAGCGTAAGCTATCATAACATACCGTAAATTTTGTCGTATATTATGCCAACAAGCCTCATAGGATACCCGCCAGTTAAAACACCAGCACATTTTGTTGTTACACTGCCGTTAATCACAAAAGGCTCGGTCTTGTTATAGCAAATTATTCTGTTTCTATACGACAAACGGTCTGACATGTATGGGCCACAGGTGTACTGTGTCATCATTGATAACTCTGCAAAACTCTCTTCGTTAAACGGGTATACTGCTTCTATTGATGGAAAAATACGATAATATTGTTAGACTGTCATATTTCATTAAACATACGAGCTCTGTTCATGAAGAAACTGACATATTGACCGTTAGGTACGTTCACAATAGAATGATTCGTTAGCCCGACTATCCAATTAGAGTAAAAACCAGTATACGATGATGTGTTTGATGTTGGCATTTCATGCTAAAAGGCTTTCTTGAAGCAAAATGTTTTGAAAATTATTTTATATGTAAAAAAGAAATTATTGGTTCTCATTCTCATGAAGAATCTAATTTTTTACTAGTTAGCTAGAAAATTATATTCTGGACAAATATGGTATCTAAACCTTGCTCATTTAATATGTAAACCTTACTGTTATTATCTTACATTTAAACCTTATCCTTGCTTTACCGATCACACCCTTAAGAACTACCTTAAAATTACTATAGTTTTTTCTAGCTTTATTCAGACCTATCTATCTTGACATTAATTTCGTCCTTAGCACCATTACTCTAGCTAACCCTTACTCTTGCTAATTGTTTAGAAAAGACTTACGATTTGATAACAATACAGATTTGTAGACAAATAGCTGCTTAAATTGGCTTTAGTTGCAGATTTAGGTTGTGGGCATGGCATGTTTTTGTACACTACAATTTTTACATTTTTTATATATTGTACTTCGGGTTCATATTGTAATACACGTTAGACTTGATTGCTTACTTAAGAAAAAAGTGTTATCGTATAACACATTTGGTTGTTTAAATAACTTTGTGCTCCCTCTCAGACCAACTTTTTGTGGTTAAAACTTCCAATTTAGAGACACAGAATTAATTGAACAACCAAATAAAACAAGACTTACAATTGTCAACCATTAACATCTCAGCCTGTTCCATAGTGATAGACGTCATACATCTATACGATAACATGTAGTTGACATCAGTGTCTATCTCAGCACCGTAGTACTCATAATCTGTAAAGTATGTTGATCCAGTGCATGTGCTACTGTTTATGTAGTATTTCACCAATATGATTGAAGTGTTCTGAGAAGCATAGTCAATACATTCTTGTAAGTTGGCTACAGATTTGGTAAAGACACGTTCTGGTATTGTTAGTTGTTAGGGGATACGAACGTAATATAGTTGGTAGGTTTTTGATATCTTAAAATTTTTAAAAATTAAAAAAATTAAATGAAAAAGTATACGTACAGTATCTAAAAACAAAAAAAAGTTTGAGTACAGTGCATAAAAAAATTATAAGTACAGTACTTAAATACAAAAAAAAATTGACTACAGTACCTAAAAATAAAAAAAGTATAAGTACAGTACCAAAAAACCAAAAAAAAATTAAAAGTACAGTATCTAAAAACAAAAAAAAGTTTGAGTACAGCACTTAAATCATAAGTACGTTTTTTTACTTACCGTAATAAAAAGTAAAACAACTACCAAACAAACAAACATTTTCATAAAGTTATACACGTAGTGTCTCGAATTTTGTAGACATTTTATGCCAATAGAGACATAAATCAATGTCATAATTATCAGTTTGGCGTTCTGTCCTTCCTTTTTAATGTCATAAAAACATAATTTAAAATTTTTTTATTTGGAAATTAAAAACGTAAAATTAAAAACTTTATTAGAAATGAACTCTTTGTATTATAGTATGACCAATTTGCAAACTTGGTCTGGAGAGTTAAACTTGTGAAGGAGTCGAGCCGGCCGAATTTTTCGACGCGGAGCTACAGGTTGGCCTTTGGGGTAAATTCCGGAAATTCGGCTTACGTGTGAACGATATTCTTATATAAGTAGAAATTTTAAAATCAGGTTTGCTTTAATATTTTTGCAAGCAAATTTTTTGTTGCGGGGGCTAACCTGGCATCTGAAACTTTAAATTGGGCCTTAGTCTTCGAGCCTACAAGTGTCAGGACAGCACGTATTACAGTAAAACTCCTGTATAACGAATTGCTAGAGGAGTTACAATTTGTTCGTTATGGAGAGGTTATATAGAGTTTTAAAATGCACTGTGTAATGATAGCCGAGGATTCAAAAGTTGTTTGTTAACTGAGGGTTTGTTATATAGAGGTTCCTTATACGAAAGTTCCACTGTATTCCAAATTTGCTCTTAGTGGCCTTTGTGCAGTACAATGAAGAGCAAAATCAAATTTATAAATTTTTTATTGAACAATATAATATTGCGTATTAGAAGGCTATGTTACTGTACATACTGTTGAATTTGATCGTATTGTGGGATCACTTATACAGTGCATTACACTTGTAATTGGGCCAGAAATGTCGTACAATTCTAAACGTGCACATTAATGTATAATATTTTTTTTAATTTGAAACTTGAAATCATAGACCTGTTCAGCAGCTAAGCTTAGATTTTGGGCTAGACCTTTGGGCCCACATACATCATCTCGCCCTGGCTTCTTTCAAATCATCTTTGGCTTAACCCAGTAAAATCTTACTTAAATTCTGATATAAAACGACAACTTTGTTGCCTGTAGGGTACCCCTGCCTCCAATTGAGAGAGACTTAGCTGGATATATTTGCTCCATTAGCATACATGTATGTTGTTCCGTTTTGCAATATTAAATTAGCAAATGGCTGGTATTCTTGGTTTGGCATACCTAAATCAACATAAGGGTAGATATGGTAGATGGGTTTACATAACATAAAACTATATATTAGGTGCCGACATAAAGAACCCGCCATATTTTACAGGAAATCACAGGTGAAGTATGGCGGGTACTTTATGTCGGCACCTAATAGTCGAGTCAACAGAATATAAGACTAGATAGCTAGATATGAGTTAACTCATTTTCAAGATTAAGATGACATACCGTACATCTTGTCATATGCGATACCAACAAACTTCATTGGAACGCCACCCGTTAAAACGTCGGCACATTTCGTTGTTATATTACCGTCAATCTCGAAGGCCTCAGTCTTGTTATAACAATATATCCCGTGTTGGTAGTACAAACGGTCTGACATGTATGGGCCACAGGTGTAACGTGTCATATTTATCAGCTCTGTAAGGTAAAAGTTTGAAAACTCCATCAGTAAACTTTACTTTTGTATTTTACTGTATGTTAAGGTATAGATGTATGATTTAGAACTATAAATATATAATTGATATATATAGGTATTAGGTTGTTCGAATACTTTTGTTTGTTTCAAAATTTGCTTCAAGGAGTGTACAGAACTATATAAACAATCAAAGTTCGAGAAGGACACAGAACTATTAGGCCGTTCACTTAATTATGCGCCCCCCTAGCTAATGTAACTTACGAGCTCTGTTCATAATGAAACTAGCTTACAGTCCACTGGTTTTGTCTACGGCAGAATGATTTGTCACCCCTACCATCCAGTTAGAGTATGGCCCAGTATAATCTGACGTGTTACCTGCTGGCATGGGTACTGAAATGTTTGAAGAATTTAAATATATAGCTGGTTGCAAACTCAGAATCACTATAGCTAAATATTAGGTGCCGACATAAAGAACCCGTCATACTTTTCTTGTAATTTCTTGTAAATAATGGCGGATTTTTTATGTCGGCAACTAATAACAAGGTTAATTCGTCCTTATTCATCTTACAATGGTTTTACTCTATCTCTGTCCTAACTCTATCTTAGGCTTGTTCTAGCCCTACCATAACTTAGCTCAGCTTCGTTATAATCCATTTTAGCTTAACTTTAGATAAACTAGTAACTCTATCTTTGTCTTTCTCATTTACTAGTCTATCAATGCAATAGCGCTACCTTAGATCCACTCTATTCTATTGTAACCTTTGTCTGCCTTGACCCTTGGCTCACATAGGCCTGTAAAGAAACGAAGTCTTGGTTAGAGCCTTGGCCTTCGTGTTGTATGTGCCGGCCCGGCCTTTCTTTTAAAATATATGTATTCGGATTGGCTTTTTGCTGGTTCAGACCTAATGAGCTTCTTTTCAGGTATAACCAGGACCGAGCGGGGACTTTCGGTGTGCGGACAAAGGTCGAAAAAATCGGCGCAGAAACTTACCGTTTGATAACAATACAAATTAGAAGCCAAAGAAAACGAAAGAGTATTATCGAGCGTGCCGTCCAGGTAAACTTGTGGGCATGACGAGTTCTTTACTACTAAAATCTTTACATTATTTGAAACATGGTACAACAGATACTATTAATATGCAAATCAGCAATGTTAATTTAAGACTAAAACAATGTCTATTCAAGACTAAAACAAAGTTTTCAATCTTTTTTGTTTTATATTGTATCTTCTAATTCTTCTAACTCTAGCTATAATAACTCTCTTACGATTGTCAACAATTAACCTCTCAGCCTCAGCCATAGTAACACTCTTCATACATCTGTTTGACAAAATGTAATTAACGTTTGTTGCTATGTCATCACTATAGTAGCTGTAATTTGTGTAGTAGTTCGCTCCTGTACAATTCTGGTCAACAGTGTTGTACTTTACCAGTATTACCGTAGTATCCTCGGCGGCATAGTCGATGCACTCTTGTAGACTGTCTACTGTTGTTGTAAAAGCAAGTTCGGGGGTTGTCAGTTGGTAGGGCAGATGGACGTACCATAATTGATTTGTTTGGAGAGTCTTATTTTAAAAAAATAATTAAATTTAAAAAACGGTATTTCTTACAGGAAAAGTACCCTACCTGCCTTGCTCAGAATCAGCTTAAAATTTTTACATGAATTCTTTGTACTACGCTTACAAATTCAAAAATATGTACTAATAGTACCCATAAATAATTTTATCTTGCAATTTCGGGTTTTAAATTTTAAATATTTAAGTTTTTCGACAATTTGGCAAATTTGGCATAGTGTTTTAAGCTCTTTTTTTAACTTTCCAGACAAGCTACGCTTACAACTTTAAAAATATAGGTTTATTTAAAGGTATTCTTCTAGTATATTTAAGTAAAATCATTAAAAGTCGATAAATGACCAAGTTATAAGCTTGAAACACAATGCCAATTTGGCGAGAAGTTCAAACCGTAATTTTTTGATCTCGATTTTCTTGAGATTTCTTGGAAAACGCAATTTAGTACTTTGCTGAACATCTTATATTTACATGATCTTTTTATAAAAAAATTTCGAAGTCAATTAAAGCGGGGCAGATCGGGCACCTTCCTTATGAGAAAAGAGGACGGGGGGGGTGGCTGGGCTTCACTTATAAATAAAAAAAATACTTCTGGGTACGAGAGCTTGACTTACCGTAATAAAAATAAACAGCAATGACAAATAAAACGCCATTTTTAAAAGTCCACATCCATATTTTGGTTTTGAGACATTAAATGTCTGAAGAGACTTAAAACAATGTCATAACTATTAATCCAACTTTTTTCTACTTAATGACATAAAGACGGAAATAGTCACTAAAGTTTAGTAAAAGACAAATTAATCGACGAAAGCTGAAAAAACACCAACTTTCAAAAATAAAAATTTTACAAAAAATCAAATATCAAACTGATTGAACACAATCTCAAAGGCTATAACAAGTTAAAAAGAGGGTAGTACAAGTGAATTTTGTTACAAAGCACCTTAACGATAAAACAGAATTTTTCAACTGGTGTTTTGCTAATTAGAAAAGGTTTTCAATAAATGGTCTTAACAACCTCACGAACAGGCAACTCTAAATGCACTTTGGAAAACACTAAACGTCTGATGCGAGGAGAAGGACTAATAGCATTGAGAGCTAGCTATGTGCGGTACAATTGCTTTTAAGGTTAAGATAAGTTCTGTGCTTTTTGCCCATTGTTCCAGTCTAGAACCCTAGCCAGAGCTCTAAGCTAGAGTTCTAGGCCAGAGCCCTAGCCCAGTGCCCTAGCCTAGAGCTCTAGTCCAAAGCTTTAGCCCAGAGCCCTAGCCCAGAGCCCTAGCCCAGAGCCCTAGCCCAGAGCCCTAGCCCAGAGCCCTAGCCTAGAGCCCTAGTCCAAAGTTCTAGCCCAGAGCCTTAGCTTGAAGTCCTAGCCTACAGCCCTAGTCCAAAGCCTTAGCCCACAACCCGAGCCTTAGCCTTAACACTGGTTTTAGTCTTAGGTTTAGACCCCTTAGCTCTAGTTCAAGCTCTAACTAAAGCCCTAGTCATTCCCAAGCTTTAGCCCTAGCTGTCGTCTTGGCTTTAATTGTATGCCAAGTTTTAGTCCAAGTTATAGCTTTAGTTCTAACTTTAGTCCTAGCTTTAGCCTTAGTCTTAGTTTTAGCACTCATCTTTCTCTACCCGGAGATGACCTAATTCTTCTTGGCACCCTTTTAAAGTAGCCCTATTAGTGCTTAAAAGCAATATTGCCAATACAATATTACTATTGTATTGTCAAAAAATAGTACTTACTTTATTTACTCCTCCCCCCCCCCACCTCTCGACTATGCATGATTTTAAAAATTTATTAGTTTCTAGCCAAAATTCTATTTTACAAACACGTATTGAAACATAAATTATAATATAAGTTAGTTTTTGGCTACGTCGCTGTACACACTGTAGAACCTGACCGTACCGTTGGGTCACTCATACAATGCATTACACTTGTTGTTGAGCCGGAAATGTCATAAACTTCTGGAAAAAAGACGAATTTACTCATCTTAACATGGTAGGCCGTGAAAGGACCTTCTCATGCAGATATACAAATCATAAACTTTTGAAATAACTTCAGATTAGCTTCATTTAACCTTAGATAATGATTAAAATACTTACTCAAGTTCTGACTCACAACAACCACTTTATAGCCCTTAGGGTATCCACTAACCCAACTCAGCTTTGTTGTATTAGACAAAGCTGCGCCATCAGCGTACATGTATGTTTTATTGCTATCCAATATTAATCCAGCGAATGGTTTGTATTGTAGGTTTGGCATACCTACAATATTAACATAAAATTAGTACTTTACAGAGTAAATATAGACAATGAGATTTCAAAATCAAAAATTCGTTTTAAAAGAAGGGGGGGGAGTGAAAGATTAGCTTATAGAGAACCAAAGAAGAAGCTGAAGACAATCTATAAGTAATCTAATCAAAACTTGCAGTAACATACCATATATCTTATCATAAACCATGCTACTAACAAATCTCATCGGATACCCATCAGTTAAAACGTCAGAACATGCTGTTGTAGTAGTGCCATTTGCTTTGAATGAAGCTGTTTTGTTATAACAGTAGATCTGGTCGCCATAGTATAAACGATCACTCATGTATGGCCCGCAAGTGTATTGTGTCATCAGCGTCAGCTCTGTAAATGTATATATATATACAGATATATATTTTTTTTACTTACTTATATAGCTTACATAAATAGAAAATCCTTTATACTCGTTATACAGGAGTTTCCGTGTATCTAACTTACGAGCTCGGTTCATGATAAAGCTGCTGTATTGAACACCATCGGCGCCTGATGTTATGTTAGCCATGCCAACTTGCCAATTCGAATAAGGCCCATCGTAGACTGATGTATTGGTTTTTGGCATCGTATACTAAAATTTAAAATTTAGAGATGTAGTGGACTCCTAAATAACAATATTTAAACAATACAAAAAAAAGTTTAATTTACCGGTTGATAACAGTAGTAATTCGTATACAACGAATATGATAACCCTGTGCTAAATGAGCCATTTTTAGTAAAGTACACTTGAGGACATGTGTCGATTTGAAACACTGAAATTATTTTTAATTTTTTAACATTTTTTAATGCTCTATTCTACCCTACCCTACCCTACCCTACATATTAGACCCGCCTACCCCTTCCTCTTCTTTCTTTATCCTTGATCTACCTACCCCTCACTTCTTCCTCCGCCCTCTATTTAACAATGTATGTCCTTGCCAAGACCTAGTTAACTTACAATTATCAATAATCAACCTCTCAGCATCAGAAATCGTAACAGAATTCATACATCTATGTGACAAAATATAGTTGACTATCTTGTCTATGTTGGTGTAGTAGCCGTAAGCTGTGTAATATGTAGATCCGGTACAAGCGCCAGTGTTAACATTGTACTTTACCAATATTATTGATGTGTTTGTAGCTGCATAGTCAATACAATCTTGTAGACTGTCGACTGTTTTTGAAAGAGCGGTTTCTGGTGTTGTCATTTGGTAGGGCAGACGGATATACCATATCTGGTATGTTGGAGGTATCTAAAGTCAGCACAGTAAGTTAAACACAAATAATTTTTTAAAAATTTCAAAGTCAAAAAAATGAAATTTTAAAAATTCAGATTTAAAATCTTTGTTACAGTATCCTTTTTACCGTAACAGCTTCAATAACTTACTGTAACAAAAAACAAAACTATTGGAAAATACAGACTCATTTGAGAAAGAACAAAAAGTACATAATAAATGGAGGACCACATATCAAACTGTCTCATTAAAATTCATTCGGCCGTTTTTTCTTAATGTAAATTGGCATGGACATCCTCATTGAAAAAAAAAACAAAGCAAAGATTTAAGCAAAGTTTTTATTCTCAAAATTTGTAATTTGGCTAGAATTTATTGTGCAGGATTAGGTTTAAACTACACATTATTGTACCTATTCCGAATCGGATGTTATTCGTGTGAACCTGCTTCTCGAGCTAACCGAGTCGTGATGAAAAGCTCCTTAATAATTCGGACCGTGGTGGCTTGTTTGTAATCGATTTGCCTAGAGAAGCCCTAACATAAACTTATCGGAACGTTGTTCTGAGGTTACCCTATTCCTGCGCTAGCAAGATTGTAAAATAGCCTGCCTTGTTTTTTTTTGTTCAAGTCCTACTATTCTTACCATAGTCTTGTCTCATCTTACTCTAGCGTCTCCATAGTCTTGCTTTACAAGAAAGTTGCGCTAAATAACTCTCAAGTTTTTGAGCAAGACGTATATAAGAAAAAAGTGATAGAAAGTTACCAAAAAAATCTTTTTCGAACAGATCAATGTTAATATTTTTGAAATATGTAAAAGTGAATCAAAATAAAACGAGAAACAAAACATAACCTAGTCATCATAAATTTGATACCAGATGACATGTAACTTTCTACAGGCCAAGCTATCAGAAGAGAGGAATATCACAGCTAAATGTGCGCCCTTTATGACTTACTCTTCCCAGACCAACACCGCCTAATTAACATAGAAAAAGAGTTTCCAGAACTATTTCTTAACCTATCTTACGATAAAAAATGCCATCAATATTTGTTATGGAAGATAATAAAACGTTATAAAAACCTATGGTAGTTAAACTTACCATAACAAAAATTAAAACTAGCAGCAGAGTTAGAAGCATTTTGCAGGAACTAAATTTAAATTTTGGACTTTATAAGCGTCAATCTCGGTTTTAATATTCAGGCCGGCCCTTTTTCCTTGAATTTTGAAAAGCTTAGTTCTCGTGTTAAAAAAAGCACAGCAATGAAGGCGGTCGATTATTTTTAAATTTTGATGTATCAAAAAACAGAAAACTGTGAAACTTCCATGTGTTCTATATTAGGGTTCTGTATAGCAGATTGCTTGGGATTTTTAAAACTGTTTGTTATGAAAGGGTTTCAATATACAAGAGTTTTTAATTCATTGTGTTTTTATTGTCGTAGATTCAAAAGTTATTCGTTATTTTATATTTTTGTTATAGAAGGATTCATTACACAAGAGATTTACTGTATTTACAAGTCTTGTCGCCAAAGTAAATTTATATTTTTAAGTTGGGCCGGTTCACTTTAAGGCAATACTCATTGTCATCTTATGATAAGAAAACCTGAAATGAAACACACTAGGCCTGGTCAGACCAAGGGCCGGCAAGTCCACGGGCCGGGCCTTTACATATGGGCCCATAGGCTAGAGCTCAAAAAAAAGCCCCAGGAAAAGCCCTAACCAAATCTAAAAAATGGTGTTCCGTCCAGCCCCTTTACCGATCTAATGATAAGTTAAAAAATGCTTCAAAAATATATACAGTAGTCTTTCTATATAGTGAACCATTTGTATACGCAACTCTCCTTATAGTAAACAAGAAATTTGGCCCCGCCAAGTCAATTTGCACTAAAAAAGATCTCTGTAAAGAAAACATTCCTTATAGTAAAGACACTTACTCTAGTCTCACTTACCCTGTAATGACAAAGGTTTTGAAAGTTGTGAGTGTTGTTTAACAGATAGTTGTAATTCGTATCTTATGACATAAAAAGAGATTTAGTGGTCAGTTAAACTATGTTTTAAAATCAAAGTTTTTCAAATAAGCTCAAGTAAATAATAAAAATGTCGGTCCCTTTGGGTTGCTTATATGAGAGAGTACTGTAATATTTATTACTTTTGTAATATTTGACATTATGTACAAAAACGTTTTATAATACTTCAAACATCATAGGAACAAAAAACCTATGATGTTGTTGTGCATACTGTAGAAGCAGATCGTTCTGTTGGGTCACTCATACAATGCATTATACTCGTTGTTGAACCAGAAATGTCATATAATTCTAGAAAACGACAAATTACTTCATATTAATATAGTAGGTCAAGAAAGAACCGAGTAGCAAAACAGAAAAAAGTCAAGGTTAGACATGAAAAAAGAAAATAAATAAATAAATGAAGGCTACTGGGCGCTTAAGACCCACAAAATAAAAAAATTAAAAACTTACTTAACAACTGACTGATAACAACAACATTATTGCCTTTAGGGTATCCACTTTCCCAATTTAGCACTGATGTATTCGATAAAGCTGTGCCATCAGCGTACATGTATGTTGTACCACTATCTAATATTAGGCCAGAAAATGGTCGGTATTGCTGGTTTGGCATTCCTACAATATCAGCTTGAAATTCCTGCTTTACAGATAAAAACTAGCCTACAAAGGCCGAGAAAGAAAGCCCATGATAAACTAAAAGTATCTACTAAAAGTTTACAGTAAACCTACCATATATTTTGTCATAAACCATACTACTAACAAATCTCATAGGATACCCATCAGTTAAAATGTCAGAACATGCTGTTGTAGTAGTGCCATTTGCTTTCAACGAAGCTGTTTGGTTATAACAATATATCTGGCTTCCATAATATAAACGATGTGACATGTATGGCCCACAAGTGTATTTTGTCATCATCATTACCTCTACATAGATATAAATATATTAGTTTGTTCAAGTAATTATGAGCTCCTAACCCGAAAGATTTGCTTTGAAAGGAAGCACAGAATTATTTGAACAATTAAATATTTAAAAAATAATAACAAAAATAATGAAACTTAGTATTTTCTAATATAAATATACTAATAAAACTTTAAAAACCTACGAGCTCTGTTCATAATAAAGCCGTTGTACTGAAGACCATCGTTCCCTGACGTCAGGTTTTCCATGCCAACTTGCCAGTTAGTGTAAGGCCCATCGTAGACTGATGTGTTTGTTGTTGGCATTTTATACTGAAAGGGTTAACAATATAAAAGCATTTCATAAGTTTTTTATAAATTAGCAAAAACCACGTTTACATATAATGGACGAGCTAAATACATCGGATGGAAAGTATCAGACAAAAAATGCAATTCCTTGTCTGATATTTTTTTCAACGATCTTTTTTTTCTCTAACTGCCGTCGGCAACGAGAGGAAAAAAAAGATAGCGGGAAAATGAGAGACGAAAATATCAGACAAGAAATCGCATTTTTTGTCTGATACTTTCCATCCGATGTATTTAGCTCGTCCCTTATATGCATAAAGAAAGTCCAATAGGAACGAACCTTTTACAGGTCTAACAATAAGTTCTACTCTTTTAAATACACCTGTAAAGAGTCTGACCAAACTTTTCAGCCAAGCCCACAAGCCAGGCTTTAGTTTGGAACCCGGCCCTTGAGCCTACGTCTGCTGGCCTGGTCTGACCTTTCCAAACTTGCTTCAGCATGGCCTAGTAAGCTTTATTTCAATTAAAACAATTTTTTTTTAATTACAAAATTTTCATTTAAAAAAAATTGAACTAGACATGAGAAACTTTGCTTACTGTTAGGCCTGGCCCAAATCCATAGTGTTTCAAGAAGAAAATCAAATTTTAAAAAATTAAACTTTTCTCTCTTTCCAGGCCAAAATTGCCCGTTAGGCACTAGTTTCAATAAGAACCAATTTTTAATTAGCCAAAAATCAGAATTACATACATTAAAACTCTTGTATAACAAAACCCTTTTGTGACGAACAAATTTAAAGTCCCCGGGCAATTGATTATTCAGGAGTTGTAGTAAAATAATGTACACAAGCCAAATTAATAAACTTACCGGTTGATTACAGTAGTAATTAGTCCACAATGAATACGAATAACCGAGGTTCAAAGTTCCATTAGCTGTGTTGTAAACTTGAGGGCATAGGTCGCTTTTAAATGCTTAAAATAACACCTTTTTTATCATAGTAACAGAAGTTCAAGCCCAGAAGATATATTACAGTAAACTTATAAACAACTACTGTAAATCATGAGCTCATCATCTTTCTTTTACCCTCTTTCTTCAGCATTGACCTATATGTAATACATATCCCTACTCTTCCTTGTTCAACCCTAGCCGACCTACCCCCTCCCCCGCCACCCTCTACGCTTTCAGCTTTGACCCAACAACTCCTCACCTTCTTCTTCAGCCCCGACCCAGCTTACCCTCTCTACCTTCGTTTGCCCTACTCACCCACCCCTCCTCTTCTCTTTCACCACCCTGTTCTCAGTTTCTATCCCACCAAGACCTACTAACAAACTTACAATTATCAGCAATCAACCTCTCAGCATCAGAAATCGTAACAGAATTCATACATCTATGTGACACAATATAGTTAACTAGCGTATCTATGTTGTTGTAGTAGCTGTAGGCTATATAATATGTAGCTCCGGTACAAGCACCAGTGTTAACATTGTACTTTACCAATATTACAGAAGTATTTGTAGCTGCAAGATCGATACAATCTTGTAGACTGTCTACAGTTTTCAAAAACGCATGTTCAGGTATTGTCATTTGATATGGCAGACGGACATAGTAGAGTTGATATGTTTGGTGTATCTTAAAGTTATGATTATAGCGTTTAGTAGTATTAACATAGTACTGACAGTATCTTGTACTCAGCACCTTACATAGTATACTACTAGTGGTTCCTTTCTTCACAAAAGCTATCATATATTGTTTGTAAAGTACTATAGTATTCTAAAACTGAAACATATAAACCTACAGTAATAAAGCCCAAGACCAGCAGCAAATTGAGACCCATTTTAAACTAATATTATACATAATATTCCAAACTATGCATTAGCGTCAAACTATTATATTAATATTCAATTCAGCCTCGAATTGTCATACGGTCTGACCTTTTTTTTTAATTTCGCCGAAAACCAAACACGATGCACCACGATAGACTAGAAGACCGTTTGGTTTGAAGCAACAACAATCAGAATATTTAAAGAAACGCCCTTGTTTTGACTAGATATTAGGCTTGTTTTCGAAGTTCAAAGGGTTTTGACGTTCGAAGTGACACTTTTCTTTACTCTTTGACCAAAAACTTGTTTTGTCCAGAGCTTTAGAAACAAGGAAAGTATCCCAACCTGCCCAATCTAATCAGCTGCAGCTTTTTGCATGAATTGTCTGTACTACCAATAGTACCCATAAAAAAATTTTATCTCGCGTTTTAAATTTTAAAATTTCAATCTTTGAATTTCCCGCCAATTTGTCAAACTTTTTTATGTTTAAAATTGTCTGTAAAGTTTCAAAAATAAACTTTGAAACTTTTTTTTTCTCGTTACCTTTAGACCGTGACTAATCATTTGCTTAAAATTTTATTCTATAAATGTTGTCACATCTATTTTCGAGTCTTATTTCCGTGGATACCACGCCAAAATTTATAAATAAAACAAGACTTTTGACCGTAATATTCTTTCCAGCGTTTTATCAAAAATCACTAAAAACAAACCTTCTATCACAACCAGACTGATACCTTCAAACACATCCAAAAAGTTACCCATCCACCTTCCCCCACATACTCACCACCCAATCTTCTCCATATATCTTTATTGTAAGACAAAACTAGTTAAAGCTCACAAGAGATTGTAATTTCAGGTAACCGAGTTAGTAAAGACACCGTGTTAGAATATCCTATTTAGAAGACGTGAGGTTTTTGGTGATGTTCGGGATGGTCGCGGATAAAGTCGATGAATCGTTCCACCTTCTCTTGACCGGTGCAAATCTTGTGAACGGCGACGAACAGTGGGAACTTGTGGCTGACTTTGCGCGATTCCATTGTGGCATAGACTTCGGCCGCGGTCGGAGGGCCTTGGGCCGATTGACCTTTCAAAAGTTCTGCTTCGAGCACGGCGATAGTCTAAATAACACAAAATTAGATTGAACTACCATTTTTCAAACTTTTTTTCAAAATTTTCAAATTCAAAAAATTTTTAAAATTTAAAAATAAACACCCAATCAAAATATAAAACCTACCTTTCCAGTTTTAGCGAACGCCTCGCAGACCTTTCTGTTTCTTCCACCATAACATGTAGTGACCAGATCAGCGATGCCACAGCTTTCAAAGAATGTAGTGAACTGAGATCCTGGGTAGAATTCCTCAACAAATCTGATAATTTCCATCAAGCCCAGTCTGATGATGGCTGCTTTGGTGTTGTCACCATACCCGAGTCCGTCTGAGAAGCCGGCAGCACAAGCTACAACATTCTGAAAGAAAATTTATGAGTTAAAAAGGTTTTTTTGTTGAACTTCAGCCAAAATTCAATGTTAATATACCTAAAAATTTAAAATAGTCAACATTTTTAAATTTAGAAGACTTTTCAAATTTAACTTTCCGCCTATTAACAGCAAAAAACATCAATTTCAAACGTTAACTCCTAAAACCTTTACAAACAACCCATACCTACCTTCAAAGCACCACAAAGCTCGACAGTATGGGCATCCTTGACCACATTGACTCTGAAGTAACTGCAGTGGAACAAGGTCTTCAATTCGTTGCCAAGTTTCGGATCCTTTGCTCCAATGGTGGCTTCACAAAAGTTCTCATTGGCGACTTCTGGAGCCAGGTTTGCTCCCATCAAAACTGCGACATCAATGCTCAACTCTTGCTTGATGATTTCAGAGATCAAATGGATACCTCCGCCTTCGCCGACTGATACACCCTGAAAAAAGAGCAATATTTATATTAATCTGGAGGTTGAGATTACAAATTTACATGCCAAAAGCTTTAAAAAATCAGTTTTTGTTTTAATTAAAAACGTCAAAAAAGGCTTTAAAGTCTTTTTATATTCAAAAAAGTCCAGTAAAAGCTTCAAAAAATGTCTTTTATACACAAAAAAAGCCCAGTAAAAGCTTCAAAAAGGCCTTTTCATATTAAAAACTGTCTTCAAATCTATAGATTTTTTTAAAAATCGTTTTAAAAATTAATTTTTTCCGTTTTTCCTTTTAAATTTCACAAAAAACAGCTATTTTTTCAAAAATTCCCTCTATCTTTTAAACAAATAAATCTAATTTTAAAACAAACAGTCATTCAAAAGTCTAAAATATTAATACATAATCACAAAAGCAATCAAAAATTGAAAACTGTTACATCAGCTCACCGGACCAAGCACTACATGTCTTGTCCTACCTGCCTTACCTTGATCAAGCTGATGGCAATTGTTCCCGGCTTCAGTTTTCCCTTCAATGGTGCACAGGTTCTCTTCACGAACTGATGAGGAATGACAAAGATGAGCACGTCCGAGTCCTTGCAACTTTCGACCAAATCTGTCACAGCTCTAACGTTCTCTGGAAGCTTCTTGCCTGGCAGATATTTGACGTTCTCGTGGCGAGTGTTGATGATTTCGGAAAGTTTTCCACCTTCCACCTGCTCTTCGTACACATACATGATGACATCCGGATCATAAAGACTTGGATTGGCTTTAGTGGTTTCGCCAACAATCCGAGCGATGGCTGAGCCCCTAAAATTATATTAATATAAGTCAATTTCTTTATCAATTTTACATTATTCAGATAAAAAAAGAAACTTTGAAAAATAAAAAATTTAAGTTTCAAAGAACAAAAATCTTTAGAAGACACCACTAATTCACTAAATTTGACAAAAAAACTTCGAAAAATACCCCAAAAACATTAAAAATTACATTTTCTATAGTCAATATCAAAAACAACGCGTCCAATCTTTGAAACTCCATGTATTTAAAGCTTAATAAGATAAAACACACTTAAACCTAAATTCACTAACAAGTACTAAAACAGCTTTCTTTCTAATCTCTCAAAAAACAAAATAATCTTATATTATCTATGTCCAATAAGTAAAAGCCGTTAAAAAAGTAATTCTAGATTCGCCTAAAACTTATAAAGCAAAAAATATAACAGAAAAAGCTCAGTTATATCCCATAATCTCGCACTAAAACAATATCCTTCCAAATTCCCTTCAAAACCTACAAATAACCTTATATTATTCATGACAAATCTAATAATCTTCTTTTCAAACCTTTTTCTTCTATTTCCTTAGCATTCTCTCCAAAACCCAATCCTAAACCAAGAAAAAAAAACAAATAAAAGACCTACCAGTTTCCGGAACCAACAATAGTGACCTTCTTTGGCATTTTGTAAGTGAATCGAATCGACCGGTCGAAGAATCCGACTTTCGCAAATGAGATCGAAGTTCGCAGAAACGAGCGTGCGTTGACGAAAATGTTTCAAAACGCTTGTTTTGCCTATGGCCACAATTATTTTTCAGCCGAAACGAAAAAATTCTTGTCCTATTGCGAAATGCCAGAGATTTTGTTTTCGTGGTGAGGCCTAATTGGGTTAATAGTGCCTTGGGCAATGCTAGATTTGGTTCTATCAAATATAGTCTAAAATTGTTTTTAGCCCCTTCATTGCTTTTCTTTATTTTGTTTTTCTAAAATACGCACCTTTAAAGATTTGTTTTAAAAATTCATATTTGAATTTGGCGCCAACTTTGAAAATTTGCACCTTTTTCAAATTCAAAACGAATAATATTAAAAATATGACAAATTGACTACAATGTACTCAAAATACACTCAAAAATATTCTCTGGTTTTAATTTTAGGCACAAAACCGAATTTGTCTTATTAATAATGCATTATGACGACTTGCCAAACCTTAATTATCCTCCCCTTTATTGTTGGTTTTTTATGTTCTTCATGCCGAAAACACCATCAACATTTTGCTCCAAAAAACAAGTTTGGCACAAAATAAAAACAGAATATGCGTTTTTGTTGTTTTGGCAATCTTGATTTGTTTATTCGTTTAAAACTTGCCGCTTTTTCGAAAAATTTCAAAAAAATGAAATGTGAAATTTGTAAAAAATTTGATTTTCTAGCCTTTCTCGGCTTCAGACATTCGTGTTATTTGGATTTGAGTGATTTTTATTTATGCAAGCCCATTGGGAGCCGTTGCTCCTAGGCTTGTTGTTGTTCATGGCTAAAGCTGTAAATTTTCATAAAGGTTACGTTGCTGGCGTATATTATCCTAGACAAGGAGGTTTGCAACGTTAAACTGTTGGTTTTTGTGAGGTAATTTGAACTTTTTGAAAAGAAAAGTTTTTATTTTAATTTTGGGAATTTTTTTCAATTTCGGCGGATATTGTGGTAGGTCAAGACTTAAAATAGGTATAACTTGAGATTTTAAAAATATTTTTTGCTGAGTTTTGTAAATATAGTAAAGCAAACTAAAATACGTTTTTAGAGTTGAAGTTTGTTTAATTTGATCGACTCAATAGTAAAATACGACTTCTAAAAGTTTTTTCGTATAACTTGTCGCGCGCAGTCCGCAATTCGTATTCGTATAACTCGTCGCGCGCAGTCCGCAACACATTCAGATGCCTAATAATTACAAAAAATGTCCAATTTAGAATCAAAAAAACTATTTTGTAAAAGTTTTTTTGATTTTTAATCCAATTTGTCGAAATAATGACATAAAAAGCTGATGAGAGTCGGGGGCCCAAAAACAGTTGTCTGGTGCCCTTGATTGTAATTTAGTCATCCCTCGAGGGCTGCTTTTTGTCTTAAAGACTTTTGTTGAATTGGAGAATGTTTTTTGCACTTCAAAGATTACCAGTCGATTTGGTTCGACTTCCGCGTAGTTTTGAAGATGTATTGGGTTATGATGTTGAACCCATACGTCTTGGGTGAACGGTTTTTGTGAAACTTGGTCTTTTGCAAAGGGTTGGGCTTTTTGGGTGAGGCAAAACTTTAAAAATGAAAAGTAAGGTAGGGCTAGGCAGGAAGGGAAGGGCACAGTAGGGTTGCGTGGAGTAGGGTAGAGCATTGTAAGGAAAGGTAGTCCTTTTTGTCTCTTTAGGGTAAGGCAGGACAGGGCAGAGCAATCCAAGGCTAGGTAAGGCAAGAACAAGCCAGAGCAGGGTAAAGTAGGGCAAAGCAAGGCTAGGTAAGGCAAAAACAAGGCAGGACAAGAAAAAAGTTGGCACCATATAATACTTGTACTCTTAGCGTTAGTGATGTGTCAGTCACATATCAAAGTTATTGAATTTCAATAACAAATCAATTTGTCTGCTTGTCACTTCAGTATACGTACACATAAGAAAGGTAATAGGATTAGATACTAAACTTAAAAAGTGTCTTTTATAATATAGTAAGCACAACATAAGTACTACAGTAAATTACTTTTTAAAAGCCAATAAGTTCACGTGTCATTACCTATAAAATCTCAAATTTCAAAATTTCGGAAAAAAATTTGAAGGGCAATTAACGACACGTGCTGTTCCGGTAATCAACAGCTTAAATCACTGTGGACTTGATTCTATTTTTATCATTTCTTATCTTTTTTGAGGTTTACGTCAGTCTTTGAGTTATTATATTTAAACAAGTTTTTTGGATGCTGTTTATTGATGTTGATCATAGGATGAGTCGTATTATGTTTGAAAAGGTAAAACATGGTTATTAAGCATGATGATTATTAGATCATTATTGAGAGTTAGAGAGGTTGATTATGTTTTTAAGTGCTACAAGTTATGATCAACAATTTTTTGTGAGAGAAGGTGATATTTTAAAGATTTGTGTGTTTTAAGTTAAGGTGAGAGATGAGTTTTGCCAACAGGTATAGAAAGATATGGCTTCAGCAGGACTAGGACTAGAATCTTCGGTTTCGGCTGATGCTAAGGCTAGGACGTGAGCTAGACGTCAAGTTAAGTAAGAATGGGGCTTCGGCTAACGCATGGGGCTACGACTTTGGCTAGAGCTACATAAGGCTAGGGCGTGAACTAAAGATCAGGCTAGGTCTGGGGCTAGGTATAGGGCTAATGCGAGGGCTAAGATTACCGCTAAGGATAGGGCTAGAGTTAAGGGCTTCTGGTGCTAGGGATAAGACTGGATAGAAATATGGATAGGGCGGGAGCCAGAGCTTGGACAGAGCAAGGGCTACGGCTAGAGCTATGTTTATGGCTAAGATTTATACTACCTTTTAAGCTTGGTCTTAGACTATCTTCTGGGCCAAGGGATAAGGTTTAGCGTTAGGACCAGGATGCGGGGACGGAGTTCAGGGGTAGGGCTGAGGCTCGGGCTAGGGTTGGAGCTACTGCTGGGGCTAGCTCAATGGATATGTTGTAGCTTAAGCCATCTTTTAGGCTGGGGCTTAGACTATCTTTTAGGCTATGTCTCAGACTACCTTTTAGGCTAGGGCTCAGACTGGCTTTTAGGCTAGGGCTTAGACTGTTATACCTTATAAGCTAGAGCTTTGGCTATCTTTTAGGCCAGGGTAGAGTTGAACTAAAATTTTTAATTATAATTTTTTTTATTTTTAAACTTTTTTTCAAAAAGCATGACTAACCCAATATAAACCTGCTAATTTACAACTCCACTTACTCATAAAGGCCCTATACACTTTTGTTTTATTTATTTTCGAACAAAAGAACTAAAATAAAGAGTTGGGGCTTCGAATTAACGCTGATGCCACAGCTGTTTTGTTTCGACCATTTCGGAACCCTCAGGGGGTCTTCGTGGATAATGAACGGACTAAGAGGTTATTTCCGTTTTTTTGTTTTTAATGAGTTGCTTTTACTGTAGTGATTGCGTGAGTTCGGTCGGTTTGCAAGGGTAATGGTTGTCGGGATGGGGAATGGTAATGGGTTGGGGTAGAGGGTGAGGAGAGGGGGTGGGGTGGTAATGGAGTATATGGCTAAAATATAGGGTAATGGACTGGATGACTAAGATATAGTCCATTAGTAGTATATAGGCTCAAGATTTTTAAAAAAATTTATTAGGTTGTTCAAATAATTCTGTGCCCCTTGAAAGTTTTCTTTGAGAGGGGGCCTTGAATTTTTTGAACAACTTAATATATCGGTTTAAAACTGAAATTTATTTATTTTTATATGGTTATACCTGGCTTGGGGTGGATAAAAAATTTTTTGAAAAAATTTTTTTTGGGGTTGACGATTTTCTTTATCACCCAACCCTGCTTATAGTACTTTAACGCATAATACTGCTCGAGTATGCGAAAGAAAGGGTATTTTTTAAATGGCTGGTTCCTTTTCAAAACAAAAAAGTATAGAAAGAATGTTGTTGACAGCTTGTTTAAGCATGGAAAGCAATAGTAAGCAAATTGGCGGAACAGTGTATCTTCAAAAAAAACGTCTAGATTTTATATTTTGTTGGAAATGTCATTGGGTTTGGGCGGAAGGTCAATTTTTGGGGGTAGTGGATGAGATTTGATGGGGTAGATGATTTTTCTTTATTATAGGCTGGGGATAAGGCTAAAGACTAGGGCTGGTGCTAAAGTAAAACTTAAGGCATATTACTATAACGTAAAATTTTTTTTCGTTTTTTAAGATTACATTATTAAGAATGATGAATACTAAAATAAGTTTTTGTCTATGGATTATTTCATTTATTCTATTGTACCTACGTTAATATTTTTCCATCATCTGTATTAAAAAATATTTAAAAATTCCATTTTTTGCAAAATATGGCCATTTTTTTATGATATTTAAACAGAGATTTTAATTTTTATAGAAAAATATTGTCAAAAATATTAAAAAAGTACTCGCTTCCGGGTGGACTCGAACCACCAACCTTTCGGTTAACAGCCGAACGCGCTAACCGATTGCGCCACGGAAGCACGTTCCGAGTGGTTTGTTTTGAACTATTGAATTCTATTTTTGACCTTTGGCCAATGATTATTAATGAGGTATTTATATTTTGGGAAAAGCTATGAGGAAAGAGAACAAGTTTAATACCTTTTTGAATTTCTTTGAAAAAGTTTCGAAAACTGGGGTTTAGATCTAAATTTTATAACTTTCTTAAACGCTATTGTTTATTAAGTTTTACCAGTATGGTCGTTAATGGGCGGCCAAAAAATAGGCAGAAGAAAAGGTATCTGAAAAATATTATCATACTTTTTTTTATATAATATCATATATTTTATGAAAATAACTTTTAAATTTTGAACTTTAAGATTTTTCAATGCCAGACAAAGTGTCAAGTTAATAAATCTCAACGTTTTTTACGAACCTTGACATTTTATCACAAATCTCAAGCTTTGTATATTTGATACTCTGTCTGAACTCCAGATGTGAGACGGTCAACCAGCTTATGTTAACCATACCCTCTTTGATTTAAAGATC